CTCTCTCTCTCTCATCTCTTCGCATCTCCTCTATTTTCTCTCTTACGTATCTCTCCTTCCATTCGTTTTCCCCAGGAACATTTCGTATCCTTCTAATCCTTCCCTCCCTTCTAATTACGTATCCGCCGTCGACAGGAGTATGAGCCTTTACCGACGTTTGTACATACTGTCATTTGCAAGAAACGACGGACGAAAGTGCTTTTCGTGGCGTTTCAAAGAGACTCGTAGTATTCCGTCCATCTCTTACCATTACGCGTACACGCAACTCATCCACTTTCTCATCCTCCTGCATTCTCTTCTTTCCTCCCTTCCTCTACCTCCTACGTAAAGCTCTCCTCCTCTCTCTCATATCCTCGATCCTCTTTCTCTATCTAGTCCTCCCTCGCATTAGCTTCGCGACTAGATGAAAAAAATGAGTGGGCGGAACGGAACGGAAGGGGGAGGGAGATGAGAGGGGAAGGGGGAAGGGGGAAGGGGGCGCAAAAGTGGCGCAGGGAAAGGGATGGAAACATCGTTCGCGAAAGCTTATTTCCACGCTCCTTCGGCAAGAACGGATAGGTCTCCTTTATCACGCTCGCAATATACACACCACCAAGGTAGCTGCTACTCGCAAAGGTATCCCGGATACGAAGCACGCTGCTTTTAGAAATATCGTTCCCGCTAAGCGACGACGGCGAGGACGGCGGCGACGACGGCGCACTCGACGGGCGGTCGTCGTCGCGACGCACACGCGCTTTTTCTTGCCTTACGTTGTTGTTTCACCGCGGTGAAGCTAAGCTTTCCCGTTTTCCCGACGGCGACCGACCTCGCGCGGGAATAAACGCCAGTCAAATTGTGACTGAACGATACGTCGCTTCCTACGGTTTAGTCGTGTTCCTACGTATTTTCCATTTAGCATGTTCTGTAACATGGACGACGATGGCGAATTTTCCTCCTAAATCTGCAATCTGCGATTTTTGCACGGCTGCTGAACTGAGCGAAGCTCCTACACAGCTCGATTACGCCGGATTTACGCTCATATTAATTGCAAAATTCTAAATATTTAAAATTTTATAACTATATATGCGATTCCGCGGCTTGTTTCGTTTGTATATGTAAATGTCAGGAAGCAAATTTTAATTACGTATTATGAAGGATAAATGTTTCATTAATGTTTAGAAAGTTAGGTAAACGATACGTTTAATTTACAGGCTGGCTCTCTAAACAATGACAACGAACTATTACGTATTCTCTCTCATTACGTCGGTGCTGATTAAACAATGACGATGGAATATCAGATTGTCTTCCATTACACCGCGCCGATAATCAACGTATCGATTACGTGATGAGGAACTGACGGCTCGGTTTGGCTCGGTTTTTCACAAAGAATTCAAATCATGTGAGTCGATTCACTGTTTGAAAACAACTGCGACAATCGACAATCTCATATGAATCATCGCGAATGAGTATCAGTCATTCAATTCGGTTATCTATCCGCTTATTCTACTGAATGCACTTTGTTACTCGTAGAATTACAAACAGATGTGCAAACAACTCTCTCAGAATTTCTCGATTTATCGTTATTGCAAATTTATTGCTCTGCCAAATGTGATTATTGAATTACCCTTTATAAAGTGTTACAAAAAAATATGCGCTAAGCGCGCAGTTTTGATGAAATTATTGTTTCATCATATCGTAATAGAGCGCCTAGAAAATTTCATCCCGAAGAGACATTTCTAATTCTAAGTAAGGAACATCCGAAAGAAATTTTAACGCTAAAATTCGGAGAACCGACGTTATAAAATTGAGCATTGCTTGATTACATTTCCATAAAATGTATTCCGGCTCGTGTAGGCGGATTTACTAGGCTCGTCACGCGGACATTTAGACTTTTTCGCTTACGAACGCTCGTAAAAACTGTAATCATAGTTTTATAGTTGATGTGCCTCCGCATCTGACCTCTGCATCTGACCCCTCCGCGAAATATTCACTTGGTCCGTATGCGTTTGTGAAGGATTTCTCGACAATATTACCGGAGGTCGGGAACGCGCGCGCGGCAGGAGGCGCGCCATTTTCAGCACGTTTGTCCTCGCATAGAAACACCCTTTTACGATTCCGCCAAGCCCTGCGAATCACCCTCGGGAATTCAGGTTTTATAGACCTTTTGCCGCACGAACGCGGCCGCTCGGACCAGAAAATTACGCGGCACTGTACTCCGCCATGTTCAAATGGAATCTTTAACGAAAACGATTTAAGCGGTCGCGAATTTTCCTACGTAAAATTTCTATGGCAGCTACACGCGAGTCATATTTATATTTGACCTATTCGCCATTCGCTATAACGATCGTTCCATTTCACGTTTTTTTTTTTTTTTTTTTTTTTTTTTTTTTCATTTTTCTTCACGTTCTACGACGCTCTTTACGGGAAAAGACGCGGAATTAAATTGCATAAAGTTCAAGTGTTCGTACGTGCGACATACAACATTTCTAAACGTTTTCCTGTTTACTTTCTTCGCCGTACGAGGCGTTTCCGCGAAAGATAGCGCGAAATAATTGAAAGACCCTTATGGCGCGCGCCGCAGCGGCAAAATAATTCCGGATCGTTGTAAGGAAATTAGATTCACCAGATAAAAGTTAGGAGACGAAAATGGAAAAAGCTGACTCTGAAAGCTTTTAGATGTTGTTTTTAGATGTAGCTGTTTAAAGCTCGCTACTCCGCTATACACCGATTCACGATTCACAAATCCGCTCGCGCAAATCGGGCCATTGGCTTACAATTTCTTTTTTATATGCCTTATATCAGGCATGTATTTACAATATATAACAATTGAATTATCATAACGGTGACACATTTACGACGTATTTATGTATCAGAAAGTTCAGAATGACGTACATCTTTTCGAAAATATTCAAAAAATATTCGAAATTCCATTTTTATCCGATTATATTTAGTTATATTTATTTATTTACTATTTTATATTCGGGCAATATCAAAAACGAATTTATTTCGGTCGAAAAAAAAATCTTTTTCGCTACCAGATTAACTTTTATGTTCGAAATCGATATATGTAAATTCCTTTCAGTTTATCTGATTTATTCGATATTGTTTATATTAAGCATCAATTTTAATTTTCTCCTTCTTCAATCATTGTTTTCGAGATAACACTTTCCGAGACAACTTTTTTTCCGTGTAAAATTGAAAAAGTTTTAGCTTTCGAATATTAAGAACCAACGTTTATCAAAATAAAAATTTACGAAATCATTGACGTAAACTAATTCACTACTATACAAATAATAGTTCTAATAGTAACACACATGAATTAAAATTAAAAATATTACTAAAAATATATGAAAATTTTACTAAACTTATGTTTTTAAATTGGTCCATATTTAAAAAATCGTTTTATTATTGTGATTCTTTCTTATTGAAATTTTAATATAGAAATAATGATAAATAAAGAAATCACTGTTTATTATATTGAAAAGTTGAGAAAAAAAGATATTAAGATAAGAATGATTTAGCGGTGACTCAATTTCTAAATCATTATATGTACACAGGGCAGCAGTAACGGCCGTTTCTTGGCATCCACATGGCACATATTTAGCATCTGTCGATCGCGCCAAGACGGTGACGATTTGGGGCGACCATGTTTGACAGGAGGAGTGATCCCGGGACAGACGATTACTGTTTCACGCATGAAGATCTCGTGCCATTCATTGGCTTTTCGTAGCCGTGAAAATGAAACGTGCTCACGTCAGCAATCCCGCGAGAAATCACAGTGGGCATCCCAGCGGGATAATAATCAAAATCATTGGTCGGTTTGGCCGCGCGGGTTGTAAAGCCTTGTAAGGATGCCGTTTCGAAGTTATAAAGCGCAGACACCGCACTGAACAAATCCACAACGGCGGACTATTGTACATAAAATTGCACTTATTGTTACTCCCAGGTTGTAAAGATTCCCTATTTAGAATAGTAACTTGCGCGCCACAGCCGTGCCGGATCGTCTACCCCCCCCCCCAAGAAATTTAAGAAATTGTCGTAGATTACTGATGTTTTTCCGCGACTCGCTAGACGTAAGGTTTTCTTTTGCTAACTATGAAGAATACAGTCGCGTGTCAATTGTCCATATGAAAAAAATTCGGGATTAAAGTTTATATATGACATCCATGATGCTAGAGTAAAAATATTTGAATAGGTTGACTTTCGAACGAATTTAACTTATTAAATAATAAAAATTATTATTTCCTTTTGTCTCAAAAAAGTCAATTATTATATATTATATATTTTCTAGAAGAACCGAATGTTGTTAACATTCGATAAATGATATTTTTTGGAACATGTAAGTGTAAAGACGTAACGCTAAATATGAATGAAAACGCATTAGAGTTGACTGAGATTATTTTCCCAGAATTAATTATGCATTATTATGGAGAGAAATAATTAATTTTGTTATAATTAGTTTTGTAATATATATCAAGCATCTCTTGATAATTGAGAATTATTTTTAGAGATCAAACAAATCCAAAGATCTTTTTTTATAATGCAAAATTAATTCTGATGGAGCAATCTTACTTTAATTTGTAACACTGTAACTTGATTCATCACCAGATTGTCTAACATCACTGAAACAAGATACAAGTCTGATAGAATGAAAATTAGATTATACGAAAGCAAGCAAGCACAATAACAATATTGATATTAATTAATTATAACGTACATAATTTGCGTAATTAATGTTAGGATATTGTATATCAATCGATCACTATTTTCATTAATAAAACGATTGGCTGATAAAAATTATTTACGAGCAATTATTTACGAGCAATTTTATTATTGCAAAGTAAATTATATTATTAATTATTAGAGAAAATTAATAAATATCTAATCGAAGAGATTCCACGTAAAATAATATATTGTAATTTAGATTTCTAAAATAATACATATAAACATTGGATAATTTTCTAAATATTTTTAGTGGATAATTATTATGTTAAGTTTTGTTATTTAATCGATTACTCAAAAATTTATTACTCGAAAATAATATGCAGTTATTTTGTATATTATCACACAAATTTTTATCGCCTGTGCTTTTTTATTATTTTACTTTTTTACGGAGCTCTTCGATCCTATGATATTTATTATGAATTTCTGTAAAGATTTGCATAACAACGTAATATCTAAAAAGCAGTTTAAGTTTAAAACTCACACACGCTATTTTATAATTCACACATAAATAATTAAATCAATAATCATTTAATTTGCGTTTACGTACTATATAATTAAATCACGTACTATATAATTAAATCAGCAGTACTTTTTTATTTGCAATTTGTTGTTAAAAACTATTGGTTTCCGATTATTATACGAAAAATTGGTCATGGGTTTGCATTAACGGAAACTTTCATTTTTTTAATATCCAATATTTTTATATCGATTATAATTTTAAAAAGAAAAATAGAAATTAAATGTATTAATTTTGTTTCAAAGAATAAACGCTATTTTATCATAAAATTTTCATCGGATTTTACAGACCTATCTAAATAATATTCATGTTAAAACATTTTTCCATATTTGATAACTATTTTGTTGTGTTTTATGTGATAATGCAAACCAATGATTGCGCCTCTTCGTCGTAACGCGACGATAATTACTGGCTCGTATTTTGAGCGAACAACCAATTGCGTCCAAAGTTTTGTGAAATGATTTTAATATTGTATACTTACATCTCATTTTTGACTATTAAACCTGCACTGTACTCTTTTTTTCTCAAAAACAATCTCAGCAGAAATACTATATACATTGTTCACACATATGTAAATATATATTAAACGTTTCCTTCTTGTATTTTGTAAAAATACTGGCTTGTTTTTTAGATGCCTATTCTAATAAATCCTAATTAATTCCTTTAATCCTATTTATCCTATGCATTTCAACAACTCTATCAACTTCTTGCCAACAACACGATATATTATTTACGGTAAGTAATAAAAGAATAATAATCATACATTATCATTTATACTTATGATAAACAAATAATTATAAATTAGTGTACATTAACAAAATATTGCAGAAACTATTTATAAGTCATTTGATTTAAAATACATCAAGTTTTAATAGCCGCAAATTTGCCGATAGTTCTAAATCGATCACTACGTTCCGACTCTACTTTTCACACTCACTGGTGTTACTTTTCGCTCAAGACAAGTGGCTCGTTCACCACACCCTAATCCCGGTTTTCGCTTCTGCCATCTCTTCGATGGGCACATGTATAGCAGCGTACACACACACACACACACACACACACACACACACACACACACACACACACACACACACACACACACACGACACACACACACACACACA